TAATAAAATACTTAAAGAGATATGAAATCACTAGCTCAGCTGTGTTCAATGTATTATATATAATACCTTTTTAAATTTTTTTATTTAATTAGTTATATATGACAGTAGAATGCATTTATGCACTTTGATATATCATATATAGATGGGATGGATATAATTTCTCATTTTTCTGAGTATACATGTTGCAGAATCATATTGGCCATGTAGTCACATATTTACATAAAGTAATAATGTCTGTTTTATTCTACTATCTTTCCCATCCCCACATCCCCTCCCATCACTTCCCTCTACCTAATTTAAGGTAACACTATTCTTCCCTAGTGCTCTCCGCCTTATTGTGAATTAGCGTTCGCATATTAGAGAAATCATTCGGCCTTTGGTTCTGTGGATTGGCTTATTTCACTTAGTATGATATTCTCCAATTCCAACTATTTACTGGAAAATGCCATAATTTCACTCTTCTTTGAAGCTGAGTAATATTCCATTGAGTTTATACACCATATTTTCTTTATCCATTCATCTATTGAGGGACATCTAGGTTGGTTCCATAGTTCAGCTATTGTGAATTGAGCTGCTATAAACATTGATATGGCTGCATTACTGTAGTATGCTGATTTTGAGTTCTTTGAGTATAAACCAAGGAGTGGGATAGCTGTGTCAAATGGTGATTCCATTCCCAGTTTTCTAAGGAATTTCCATACTGCTTTCCATAGTGGTTGCACCAATTTGCAGTCCTACCAACAATATGTGAGTGTATACCTTTTTAATCCATGCATAGAATAAATGAGTCTAGTCAAAAGGATCTTCTTCAAACATTTTCATCACTTGGCTTCTAGGTTAATAGTGTTTTCTGGTTTCTCTCTAATACACAGGCTGTACCTTTTATAATATTTCACAATGGTTATTGCCAGTTGGTGGGATTCTGAGTGGTTTCTTTTTTTCCCCCTGTTTTCTTATTTTCTAAATTTTCCAAGATAAGACTTAATTTTTAAAAAATCCAGTTCTATTAAGATATAATTCACATACCACATAGTTCAGTCATTTAAAGTGTACAATTCCATGATTTTTTTCCTTTTCTTCACATTCAGAGTTATTCAACCATTACCACAACCTAATTTTAGAACTTTCATCATCCCCAAAAGGTACCCTGTACCCTTTGGCAGTCAACGCCCATTCCTCCTTCCCTTCTCAGTCCTAAGCAACCACTAATTTATTTTCTATTTCAATAGATTTGCTTATTCTGTATATTTCAAGAAAAATGGCATCATAATATGTGCCCTTTTGTGTCTGGCTTCTTTGACATAGCATAAGTTTTTCAAGGCTCATCCATCTGTATCATGTATGCATATTTCATTCCTTTTTATTGCTGAAAAATCATTCATTGTATGGATATACCACACTCCAACCCATCCACTAGTTAACAGATATTGGCTTGTTTCCAATTCTTGGCTACTGTGAATAATGCTGCTATGAACATTCTTGTTCAAGTTTTTTTGGGACTTATGTTTTCAATTCTCCTGGTATATACCTAGGTGTGTAGAATTCAGGTCACATGATAAGTTAGTTTAGCACTTTGAGGAACTACAAAGTATTTTCAAAGTTGTTCACCATTTAACATACCAGTAATACATGAAGGTTCTAATTTTTCTACATCCTCGCCAGCATTTGTTATCGTTTGTTTTTGATTATAGCATCCTATGTATGGAAGTGGCATCTCACTGTCACTTTGATTTGGATTTATATAAATGCTAATGATGTTGAACATGTGTTTATTGGCCATTTTCATATCTTCATTGGAGAAATGTCTATGTAGATCCTTTGCCCATTCTTTAATTAGGTTATTTGTCTTTTCATTTTTTAGCTGTGAATTCTTCATGTATTTTGAATACAAGTCTCTTATCAGATATATGATTTGCAAACATTTTCTTCCATTCTGTGGATTGTCTTTTTGTTTTCTTGATAGTGTCATTTGCAACAAAAAAGTTTGTAATTCCAATGAAATCCAATTTATCTATTTTTTCTTTCATTACTTTATATAAAAAAATTGTCTAGCCTAAGGTTACAAACAGTTACTGAGACTTTTATAGTTTCAGCTTTTGCATTTAGGTCTTTGATCTATTTTGAGTTGAATTTTGTTGTGGCAAGAAGGATTCGAATTTCATTCTATTGCACGTGGATATCCAGTTACTCTAGCACCATTTGTTGAAAAGACTATTCTTTCCCTATTGAATTGTCTTTGCACCCTTGTTTAAAACCATTTGACCATAAATACAAGGGTTTATTGCTGGAGTTTCAAATCTATTCCATTGACCTATATGCCTATTCTTATGCCGGTACAACACTGTCTTGATTATTGCAGTTTTGTAGTAAGTGTTCATATTGAGAATTTTGGTGTTTTTTTTTTTCAAGATAGTGTCAGCTATTCTGGGTCCCGTACATTTCAATGCATTGCTTTTTTTTTTTTTAATATTTATTTTTTAGTTTTCGGCGGACACAACAACTTTGTTTTGTATGTGTTGCTGAGGATCGAACCCGGGCCGCATGCATGCCAGGCGAGCGCGCTACCACTTGAGCCACATCCCCAGCCCCTCAATGCACTGCTTTTATTCTTTGTGTGTGTGTATGGGGGGGGGGGTTAGAGAAAGAGGAGAAAGAAAGAAAGATAGACATTGCTGAAGGAACTGTGTGATTTACTTTGATTTCTGAATGATTATTCTGCAGCACATCTTTTCTCCTGGGTGGGGGAATTTCTCCCTGATTCTGTCCTTGTTATGGTAGTTTTCTGTTTGTTTGTTGCCCACTGTTGATGAACACTGTGTAGTGTGGACTCAGACAAGGCCTTATCTCCTACCTTGAGTCACCTGACGCTCAGAGGTTATTTCCACAGGAATGGGAATGGGGAGCATGGATCTCACAATCCCCCGTGCACTCCAAGCAAAGTATTATCACATTCTTTGTTGTGGTTGATATAGCTGATACACTGTTTTGACTGTATACCTCTTCAGCAATCACTTTTGAGTATATATATATATTTTGCACATTCAGTTTAAGTATACAAATATATATTCTTTGATTCATTTATAAGTTATATATACTAATAATTATTATATATTAAAATCATACATGCCAGGTGTGGTGGCACATGCCTATAATCCCAGCTGCTCTGGAGGATGATGCAGGAGGATTGCACATTTGAAACCAGCCTCAGCAACTAAGCAAGGATGTAAGCAACCTAGTGAGGGCTGGGGATGTGTCTTAGTCGTTAAGTGTCCCTCAGTTCAATCTCTGGTGCCAAAAATCAAACAAAAAAATGAAAACAAAAACATATGCAAAATGGAAGTTTTAGAGAATGAGATTTTAAAAATGCTTGGAAATAGAAGTCTTCCCACACTTCAGTGGCTTTTTTTTTTTTTTTTAATCTCCCTGTAGACTGCCTTCTTGGATTTTACCTGTGTGTGTTTCTAGCATCCAGCCAAACAGTCCTAGTAAACAGCAGAAGCTCATGTCTTCAAAAGAAAAAAAATCAGATCTCGTACTATTTTTATTATATTATAAAACACTACCTCTATTTCTAGGTTTTGCACTAGCAAGTAAAGTTTCTGCGTTTATTGTCTGCTAGGATCAATTTGTGGAAGGTTGTGTGTTCCTCATGTCTCAGGTCTTCTACCTTTGATTGCACCTCATCTGACTTATTTATTTACAAAATAGTGATTCTATCATCTTTAATGTATACTCTTCATTTCATACCACGTTGGTCAAGCAGAGTTCTGCATAAAGAATTGAAAACAATGTCTCTATTCAGGGTGGCATCAAAGGAAGCTCTTGGGTATTGAAGTCAGAGAGAGCTTCAGGGAGCTGGATTTTAAAGGACAAGTAGACTGTTAGCCAAATGAAGACAGGAAGACCATTCCAGCAGACTTCAGAAGCAAAGGCAGGAATGTGAGAAGTGAGGGGAAAATTTGGTGGAGCTGAACACAAAAGGCAATGGTGATTGCATCTCTGTGGGGTTTTGTTTGCTTGCAGTACTGGGGATTGAACCTAGAGCCTTGTGCGTTCTATGCATCACTGACCTACATCCCCAGTACTTTTTTTGAATTTTACTTTGAGATAGGGTCTTACTAAGTTGCTCATGATGGCTTTCAACTTGAGATCCTCCTGCCTCAGTCTCCCAAGTAGCTGAGATTACAGGTGAGAGCCACCCCCTCTAGAGCATCTGTTTTCAATAGATCACTCTGGAGATTCTGTGGAGTATTTGAGTCTTGAAGTTGAAAGTAGAGAGAGGTTGTTGGTTGCCTGAAGAGTAGGGCACAATTATAGATAACTACAAGGCAGAAACCTCTGCGATTAGAATCCCAAACTGAAGCTGTCAAACTATTTTAGTACTTTATTTAGAAAGTTCTTTTTAGGATTTTAGCACCTAACTTCTTCTTCTTCTTCTTTTTTTTTTCTTTTGGTCCTGGGAGTTGTTACCCTTTCCCTTTGTCCCCATGACTGCTTTATACCTTTATTAGATAATTACGACTTATTTCGTGGGAATCCCTGGGGCTGGCTGGGGATGCTGTTTCTAGATTTCCGTTTGAGGCCTGCGGCTAAAGTTATACCCTGAGGTGCCTGGCCACACAGGTTTGTTCAAGCAAGGGCTTGTAGAGAAGGCTTCATTCCATCTCTGCCCCCATTAAATCAAACCGCCCCCACACAAATAGAGGCTCAGACACATCTGGACAGAAAAAAAGCCTCCGGGGGTATCGGGAACCACTGGGGTGGTCTAGGCCGGCCAGACAGCTCAGCTCTCTACCTCCTTTCCGGGTCTCAGCTCTGTCTGCCCACTAGAGAAAGAGGGACCTGGCCACAGGGCGCCCTCGGGGTGGGCCCTGCGACCGCCACGCCCTAGATGGGCGTGGCCTCCCTAGGGCAGCCTTAGTGACGGCGCCGGCCCCTCCCTCCCCCGAGGGCGGGGCGCGAGCGCGCGCGCGAGCTGGGCCCAAGCTGGCCTAAGAGCCGCGGATCCGAGCGCAGCTAGGGTGGCAGCGGCGACGCGATGGCTCCGGCTTTGGACCGGGAGGGTTACTGGGGCCCTACAACCTCCACACTGGACTGGTGCGAGGAGAACTATTTTGTGACCGAGTACGTCGCCGAGTTCTGTGAGTGTGGCCTGAGGCGGGGAGGGAGGGAGTAGGGACACCGGGCTGAGTGGAGGCGCCGTGTGGAGAAGGCAGAGGACGAACCTGGCCGCGAGGGGAGGCACCAGGCCTGGCGTCCGGGGCCGCGGGGGAAGCAGGAGTGTGGTCAGGGGTGTCCGGTGTGTCGAGGGAGGACTGCCGGAAACCGGTTCGGCTGGCCTTCACATTGGGGTCAGACGGGAAATGGGGAGCCCCTGCTCGACCTAAGGGGACAGCCTGAGAAGCAGGGCTGGAAATGGGAATTCCTACCTGTCCGCGGAGTGGAGACAGGCAGCGGGCAGCCCAGAAGGGGTCGGGAGAGTGGAGGTCTCTGCTTATTGGAATGAGAGCCCAGGACACCTGTTCTACTGTTGTCACCCCCTCCTCAGCCAGAGGGGAACACTTCCTTGCTCCGTCTTCCCCCAAGTCTGGGAAAACTCTAAGGTCTTTCCAGTCTTCTTTCTCCTTCCTTCCTTTCTCTCTCTCTATATATATTTAGTTGAAGTTGGACACAATACCTTTATTTTATTTATTTATTTTTTTAATGTGGTGCTGAGGGTCGAACCCAGCGCCTACCCACGCTAGGCGAGCGCTCTACCGCGGAGCCGCAACCCCAGCTCTCTTTCTCCTTTCTTATATGACCCCCCCTCACCATCTCCAGGGAACAGTTTTAGGATCTCAGAGATCCAACTCCCTCTCCCATATCTTCGGGTACCAGAAATGATCTGCTAGTACTATTCAACTCCCATCTTGCGCCAGAAGTAGAAGGCAGAGGATCAAGTACCTTTCTGCTTGTGCCAGCCTTCTAAGGGCAGGAGGGACCAAGTCATTGCTTCACTGTGAACCTCGTCAGACTTCCTAGGGGTTAATGGTCATCTGAGAACACTACTTCCACTAACCACACCTTCTGGGAACTTAAGAGTCCTCCTCAAGCCTTTGCTCTAACAGGCATTGCTGGCCAGGTCTGGGTTGTTGTTGGTGGTTTTGTGTGTGTGTGTGTGTGTGTGTGTGTGTGTGTTTTCCTAGATAATCATTTCTGCCAGGCTTGAGAGATGTTCTATTGTTTATTTTGGTCAAGTTTTTTTTTTTTTTTTTTAAACATACGTTGACGGGCTGGGGTTGTGGCTCAGAGGTAGAGAGCTTGCCTACTATGTGTGAGGCACCAGGGCCGCAGGGGAAGCAGGAGTGTGGACAGGGGTATCCGGTGAGTGAGGACTGACGGAATCTGGTTAGGCTGGCCTTCACACATAAAAAAAATAAATAAAGATATTGTGTCCATCTATAAATAAAAAATAAATATTAAAAAATACGTTGTTTTTTTAAATGGATCTTGTTGTTGGAGATGGACAGAATACCTTTATTTTATTTATTTGTATGTGGTGCTGTGGCCCGAACCCAGTGCCTTAGCATGCTAGGCAAGCACTCTACTACTGAGCCACAACCCCAGCCCCTATTTTGGTCAAGTTTTAAGAGCACAGGGTTTCATCCTTCTTTCAGGTACCTGCTTCTGCAAGATGCAGAGACAATATAATTCTTTGGTTATTACTGCCTTATTTTAATTGAATCCACTTTGTCAGGACATGAGGCAAAACTCTTCGTAGCTAACCTTCTTATTACTGACTCCTTCTCCCAGGCATGTGTGTTTGGCTTTGTAGAAAAGAGGCAAGATCCCAGGTCTGGTGGCAGGCCTGTAATCCCAGAATCTCAGCGATTTGGGAGGCTGAGGTAGGAGGATCACAAGTTCAAAACCAACCTCAACAATTTAGCAAGGCCTAAGCAAATTAGGAAGACCCTGTCTCAAAAAAAAAAAAAAAGAGGCTAGAGTTTCATACCAAATAATCCTCCTTTATTCTGTCCCAGTAGTTGGCTATTAAAAAGAAAGAAAGAAAGAAAACTTTTTTTTTTTTTTTTTTGTAGCTTTTGGGACTTGATTTGGAGGAAGTTGAGACCATGATAGGGCTGAGAATCATTTTTCCTGAGCTATTAGATTTTTACATAATAATGGAGAAATATGGGCAAAGGGATTATTTGTAGTGTAATTACTTGGCAATTCGAATATAGGTTAAGGAAGCACTTTATCAATTTTTAAAAAATTATTTACACATGACAGTATAATGATCTTGACATACATTTGAATCAGATGGGGTATAATTTCTCATTTTTCTGAGTGTACAGGTTGCAGAATCACATTGGTCATGCAGTCACGTATATACATACAGAAATTTTTAAAAATATCTTTATTTTATTTTTATGTGGTGCTGAGAATCGAACCCAGTGCCTCACGCATGCTAGGCGAGCGTGCTACCACTTGAGTCACATCCCTAGCCCATTTTTCAAATGTTTAAACTGCTTCGGCAAGCCCATACCTGGTCCAGAAGACCATGATCATGAGAGAGAGAGAGGATTTAAAGCTATTCTCTCTGAGCTGGAAATGTAGAACTTTTTTTCTTTTACTTGGTGGTTTCAAATATTGGATGGACTCTCATATATAGTAGTTAACTTTTCCAGTTTCTCTAGAATTTAGAATTGGGGCAGTGGATGGAGAAAACTAACATAAGGAATAACTTCAGCATAAAGAAAATCTTTCTAATGATATTATCACAGAACAGGTTGGCTTAAGGATAAGAGGACTTTCACTAAAGGTGTTAGAGCAGACGTTGCTCAGCTAACTAATGTGAGAATCTGAGGAGGAATTAACTAGTAGAGGAAAGGAGCCTGAGTTGGCCTTTGATTCCTTGCAGTCTTTTTGGTCTACATAAGTATAATGACTTTTAGTTTAGAACCAAGGCTTTGGATTAGAATCAAAAGAGAATACTGGCAGTTGATCATGTGAATTATAAGAGAGCAGATACTAGTATTCTGACAGATAGCTCTGAGAAATAGGAAATGGCTTTAGTTCTCAATGTCCTCAGAAGAGGAAACTGAGCAGACTGCAGGAAGGTTTTGACACAGGAATCTGAGGGGTTGCAAGAAGAGGATGAGTGCATATGTTGGCAGCCCTTTGCGCATGTACCTTGGGAGAAAATGATTTGGAGGAAGTTGAGGTCAAATACCACAGCAAGTGGTGGATGTCTATTATAACTTAAAATAAGAGAAATGGATCTTTGAAAAATATACTGATTAATAATAATATGTTTAAAATATGTGTTCAAAATAAATGCCATTTTATCATTATATTTATATTAATGACAACATTAAGGATGATAGTAATAATAGTTGTTACCTGTATGTTTGCTGTGTTCCACAACTTGCTAAGCATTTCATATAATTTATCTCTTTTGATCTTTACAATAATTTTAAAAAGAAGGTATTGTTATCTCTCACAGTTTAGAAAATTGAGTTTCTGAGAACTAATTTATATACAGTCACAATAAATGGTGTAGAGACAGTATTCAAATTGAGATGTGACTTTAAAACTGTTAGACTGTATTGCCTCTCCATTCTTTCAATCACACATTCAAGGGGGATAGGACAGACAAGAAAACCTATTCTATCACAAAAGATAAATTGAATAGCAATTCAAGTTATTCAAGTATCTTTCAACTATTCAATTATCTTTCAGCAATAGAATATATATTTTGGGGTTATAATAATGAGTTTGGGCAATTGTGTGTTTAGATATGGTTCTTTGTCACTTTCAGCACCTGAAAAACTATCTTTTTAGCATGAACCAACAACAATCCAAATTCCTTTTCATTTGAGCAGATTGTAAGAACCAGGGAAAAGGGCAAAGGGTCTCTCTTTATTTGTGAAATAATGATCTGATTGAAGCCAGACTTTTTAAGTATGGGAATCCTCATTTTGTCTGGTAGTATGGGACCATACAAAGAGCCATGCACATTAAAACTAGACAAAACAGTCTTCATAATCAATTAGAAAAGTTAGAATTATTCTGTGACCTTTAAATTTTTTTGTCAAACATTGTATAAACCCTCTTATTGTTGGTTATAAATATGTAGGGGAATGAGAAATAAGTAGAACTAATTTTTTTACACTATAACTTAAATAATTGAAAACACAGGTATTAAAATGTTTTATTTCTTTGTAAAATAGCTTATCAAGAGTAGTTTGGAGTGGGGGCTATAGCTCAGTGGTAGAGCGCTTGCCTAGCACATGTGAGGCACTGAGTTCTATCCTCAGCACCACATAAAAATAAATAAAGGCATTGTGTCCATATACAACTAAAAAAATATTAAAAAAAAGAGTGGGCTGAGTTTGTGGCTCATAACATTGTACTTTCATAACATTGAAAGTACAAAGAATAAAATGTTGTAAGCCAATTCAAATTTAGAAATGATTCATAGAGGCACAGCAATTTTATTCCGTGCCATAAATTGTGGGAAGAGCAGACAAGCACTTTACAAAGTACTCTTTTTTTAAAAAAATATATTTTTAGTTGTAGATGGACACAATACCTTTATTTTGTTTGTTTGTTTTTTATGTGGTGTTGAGGATCAAACCCAGTGTCTCATGCGTGCTAGGCAAGTGCTCTACCACTGAGCCACAGCTCTAGCCACATAATATTCTTTTAGTGTTTATGTAATAATGGGATTTATGGAATGAAGATCTAGCAGCAAAGTTTGGACTATATTCAATTTCTCACAGTTAATAAACAGTGATAACTGCAATTTGAATTGTGTTGTTGGGAGATTGGCATTATTTAACTAAACTCTGGTAACTGAAATTTGTGCCTGCTGAAACTCTACAAAGTAAAGATTGCCTATGTATTAATAATGTACAGAACATTCCTATTAAGGAGATTAATGTTACATCTCCCACTCCCCACTTTTTGGGCTACTAGGGATTGAACCCAGTGTAGCTCATTCTACCACTGAGCTATATTCCCATCCATTTTATTTTGAGATGGGCCTTGGTAAGTTGCCAGGGCTGACCTCAAACTTGCGATCTGCCTGCTTCATTTTCCTGAGTAACTGGGATTATAGGTGTACCCAACTGCTTCTGGCTGTTAGCCCATTTTAAAG